GGGTATCAATTTTGGAGAATATCGGCTGAACGGTTTATGCGTTAGTGTTGTGCACAGACGGACGGACGGACAGACAGACGTGTTGCCGGCAATCAATTTTTCGGTATCAACAAAACATGACTTCTGGCTACACCACGTGTTAGAGTTTGTTTCTACATTTACCAATATCCACTTTTTCCTTACCAGGGCCCGGCAATGGGACGACTTACTAACGTAAGAAGAGAAAGTATTGTGATCGTGCGCCGGAAAATGGCGAATTTTCGACACAATGGAGTCACGACTTTTACAGGACAGGTAAATTCTGGCAGATGACGTGTTTACGGGGACGGGTAGATGACAAATGATGAAGGACAGTTCGGATGCAGGGCAAGGATAGATGGAGGGCATTGCGAAAATGAAAGGGGACAGGTTAGATCCGGATTATGTTCTTAAGCAGTGCTTTACCTTTGTGATCGTTCTTTTACAATTTTGCCGATTTAGTTCAATTGGGTGCCCCTACTCCATATCATCGGTTGACAGACAAAAGAGCAGAAGTCGAAGCCAATGGAAAATTAAATCGAAGGAAAATATCGAAATTATCTTTCACGATTAAATTAAGGGGATTGTTTTATATTTTGTGCATTTTAATCTCAACGCTCAGCTATATTGGAATGGTCTTTCTCGCATAGAACCGGGCCTATAATGCTGCAAACCACATTTCGGGGGATGGGCGTTCGCAGTTGGGTACTTTGAATCTATTTTCAGTTTTCATACCTGTTTTGTTTACCAAGTGCAGGTTGAGGTTTTCGAACGTTTCCGGATTGTATATACTTATAAGTAGACACGACTATATTCTTAGGTAAAGGAAACACTACTATTCCTCTAGTAGTCTGAAACAACTACAGATGTGTAGGCTTCCGCTGCCGTGCTGGAGCGAGTAACTACTTAGCTGTTCGGGAGACACGGCATCCTAGGCACAGGTACGTACTACGTTTCAGCTGTCATTCTATGACTATGTGCCTAGGTTTGCCGGTCAGCAAGTACTTGACTACAAATGCCTTTGTTTTTTTAACTATGGCCCAGCAATTGAAAAAATCTCAAATGTTCTGAGAGGAAGTTTTAAGATTTTGTTGCGTGCCTGGGCCGGTGTTCTAAGTCACAGTAAAACAGTTCTTGTAAATCCGGATCCAGCCTGTTCTCCTTTTTTTTCCCACGGGTCCCCTACTTATCCTTCACCAGTGACCGAATTGTTTTCTCATAAACTGGCACAAACTATCGTCTTTCCGTAGCGAATGATATACAAAGACAGTGGCGGCTTGTAGGGTAGTAACAGCGGGCCATGTCACCATCAACAAAAAGGAAGGAAGAGAAAATTGTCACCACAAATATGTGTATAAAATATCGTTTCTTCATTTTTTTCTTTATAGTAATAAATTTGAACGAGCGCATAGTCCTTCGATGCTTTATTAATACTCTCTTCAAACGAACAGGTTTGGTGCTATCTGTCGGCCTGTTACTGAACCTCTGAGCCACATACGGATTGACACAGTTTACGTCCATTTAACGCTGTATGAAGAACGCTGAGGTGGTTTCTATGCGTCTCTCTTCTCGTGTGAACGAGACTAGCGCTTAAACCATGCATAGGATTTTTTCAAAATTGAAGAAATCCCTGTTCATTTCGCCTGAATCGAAACTCTGCGATTTTGAAAATCCTTCATTATTTTTTGGAGGTACTTTTCATGAAGCTTTTGGGATCTTTTCAAAATTGTCCTAAAAATGGCTCCAATTTTTTTCTTTAAATTTTTTATGAGAATAGAGTAATGTGGTACAGGTCCGATTTTTACGGTTAACTCTATATTTTCTAAAATTTCAAAAGTTTGATTATTTTCGTGGTCTTCCTACAACTACAATATTAAAGATAGAAACTTTTCCTTCAAATGAAATTTGTTGTCTATAATTGGTTTTTTCATTAAGATCATATACAATTTTTTGAAAATTTTACTAGTTTTCCCGCAATATTGTGTGCAATTTTAAAAAGAATTACAAAAATAAGATTTTCTCAAAAACAGCTGCAAATATTTTCTTTAAACTTTTGGTAAATTGGTGTTAAATGCACTCTAGAAGATGACATAAACGCCATATAGCTTTATTCTTTTGTTTTTTCAAAAATTACAACAATGTATTATTTTTTACTTGTCTCTTAAGTTGTTAATATTTACATTAGCGGCAATTTCTTAACATTAATGTGGAGTACATGTGCTATAAATAATGAGAGATAAAGTTTCCCGAAAACACAACAGATTTTTGTCAAAATGGGCTCAAAATTCCACAATTTTTCTTTTAACTTTTCCAACAGATAGTGCTAATTGCACTGTTTGAGATGACATAACATTAATTTTGCTCTTTTCATTTATTTTTTTAAAAATTACCCAAGTATAATTGTTCATAAGATTTCTCACAGCTTTAATATGCACATTTTCAGCAATTTGTAAATACTATCACATTAGTAATGGGAAGTGCTTGAAATATGTCGTATGAAGTTTTTCGAAAACAAATTAATAACTATAACACTGTTAATAGTTTTCTGTGAAATGAGATTCAAATTTTGACTTTACAGTAGCATTTAATGCCATTTTCTTAAAATGGCTCAAAATTTGTCAATGAAAATTTCCATTTGGGACAAGTTTTTACTGTTCTTTAATATTTTTAGATTTATCATTCAATTCTACTATTATGAAGCCAAAAAATTAAGAAAAAGAAATGCACCTTGGGCAGCAATAGATGGCAGCTGGCAAGAGTATGTGGCAAGTCCGAATAGCTAGCTGAGACCAATGGAAATACAAAAATAATACGGGAAAGTTTGTGCCATTCTGTAGAATCACTAGTTTATTTAGAGTTAGTTTATTTTGTGGCAACTTACCTACCAGAATTTGAGTTCCTATCCTTGTTATTTGACACAAAAACCTTATTATCAAGAACTCCATCAGATTTCCATACAGTTGCTCTACCTCCCATCTTCATTCACTCAAATACTTTTCAGAAAGTACAATAGTCATTTCATTTGATTCCAGGTTTTTGTTAATCACTGATGGATTAAGTTTGCACAGTAATAGTTTCTATAATATTTCCCTAAAAATCACCCATATAATATTGAAAATGTCTCATGAATACATGCAACACTGTTATATATCACAAAGTATTCATAACTCCTTAATAATAATAATAATAATAATAATAATAATAATAATAATAATAATAATAATAATAATAATAATAATAATAAAAAATTATTATTTTATATAATTAAGAACCACATACTCTCCTTAAATGATTCAACCCAACTAAGTCTCACTGAATATTCAAGACAATTAGGTCAGAGATAACTAGTTTCAACTACATTTAAATAGAATTGTTAAATTAATTCACAACTATTCTCAATTCTATGTGGACAGTATATTCAAACTATACTTAGATCAACATGCATAAAGAATATTTAAAACGTACTTACTTTGCTTTGGATAGAATTTGTTTGTACTTTACCATCATTGGAAGACATAGGAAATATTATATGATAAATTCCCTTTTTCTCTTCTTTTTCATTTCCATTTTTAACGCAAACTGGCATAACTATAATTTCTATAGTTGGAACACACTCTCCATCAATCTTGTTTTGACCATTGGTGTAAGAATTATTAACTTCTGTCAGTAGTGGCTTTGAAGTTTCCTTCTGGCCTGTCACATAATCAACATCTTTTGACAAGAAATATGATTTCTTCTTTTGAAATTTTCTAAATTTACTTTCAATATATCTTGGGGTGTGAAGAGTGGTTTTCAATTGTGATTCTTGAGTGCCATCTAGCTCTTCATACATTACACTGTTATTGCATTGAGATTGATTCTTCAAATATTTCTACAGGAAATAAAAGGGAAAGATACATTCATAATTGAAAAATGGTAACATGGATATGTTTATGAACCTAATGCATTTATTATTGTTAATCGAGCATATGTCGTCCCTGCATATTATAGAAAATCTCAAGTCTTGTAAGTCTCTCTTTACAGGGTGACTTATTGAACTTTGTACATCATGAATTAGTGTTTCATTTAATATTTGATATTCTATTAAATATTTTAAATCTCTCATAAAAATTATGCAAAATTACCAAAACTTGTAAAAATGAACATTTCTAAAGATAAACACTATGTCTGCAATAACAAAAGTACTATATAGAAAAATCCATCATTTTAGATTTCAATATTAATCAAGGAACTACATTCATTATTCGGTTGTTTGTGCTAAGATGTTAGTATAACTTGATACTGTCATTTATGCCAGCAGACGTGGATCCAGAAACGAATATTGGGAGGGGAAATTAAAAATGTTTTGGTTGAATACGTCATATAACAGATTTTGTGAAATGTTTCAGACTACACTCAGCTCATGCTGTAATATGATTTTATTAGTTTTAATGATTATTCGAACATATTTCTACTTGAAAGTTTCATGACAAGTTAAAATTAATAGTCACTGAAAAATTTTGGAGGGGGAAATTTTCCTCATTTTCTTCCCTGTGGATCCATGCCTGATGTCTGCAATAGAAACGTTATTGTTTAAAACAAAATTGTATATCTCATTGCAGTTTGATAACTTTCAAATAAATTAGAAATAATGAAAAAAATAGAAAAGGGACCCAGGTAATGGAATGTAATTAGAGGTACAAATAGAACAGTAAAGGAACAAACAATTAGAGCAGGTAATAAAAATACAGTACAAAAAATGGTAGAGTTCATTCCTTTATTTTAAAAAATAGATATTAAACTTTATGTGACATAACATTACTTGTGTTTTGGTATTGCACTTATCAGTTCATTAGGTTGGTTCCCCAAGATACAAATCTCTAAAACCTGAAAGTAGGCTTCCACTTAGATTAGATGTTCATAATCAATGCTATAAAATGAAGTTGTATGAATATTAGTATGTTCTTTCCCTATCATCACACAATTATACTTTTATGATATGATAATGAAATTTGTTATTTGCTAATCATCAGACAATAAAACATATTTTAGAATAATATCAGTGAATTGTGATGTCATTGGAGTATACAGCATTAACTGTATGGAAGTCCGAGGTTTTTCAGTTTCTTAGCTACAACAGTATTACCCCACAGCACAATGGTGGAATTGTGATGAAAAATAAACAATAAAATATTAACTTACAGATACACAGTAATTGCATTTAAAAAGTGCATTTTACATGGAAAAAATATATTTTTATGTTTTGTTACATAAATGTATGGCACCTGATTATTGCAGAAACTACAAATACAGTGATGGTGTAAACAAAATGGTCTACAGTTTGAACAAATAAAATTTGATGAACAAATTATACAAACTTTCTATCAAATTTCTCCAAAATTTAGCAGTAGTTTTTATACATTATTTTAATGTCAGTTTGAAGTGTTTTGCACTTTGTTTTCAAACTCATGGCACCAGAAGTAATGAAACAAAAAACCAAATTTCTATTAGAAAATACTTAAGATATACATGTGTAAAAGCGAATCAGTCATAAGATTACAATGAAGAAGACAACTGAAAGTCTGAATCACATTCATGCTAAGTTGTGGGTTCCTATTCTGTATTAACAAAAAACACATCTGACTTAGAAAATGACCACACATTAACAAATGGCATACTAGACAAAATTAACATAGCCAATCAAAAATTACCTCAGTGGTAACCGTGCTGCTTAGAAATGACTATCACCAACATACAATACCTGGCAGAAACATTCGTTCATAATCACTTGAGTTACATGCACAAATGTACAGAATTTTGTCTTATTATTTTAAAAACACAATACAATCGATCAAATAAAGAATTTCAATTGAAGCAGAAATGTCTGTTACACTACCTTTTAAGTGTAGGCCACTAAAAATCGTAAAACATTATGTCTGCTATTATCACAAACGGAGCACTTCAAAACCCCCAAGTTTAATTTTATTAAATCACATGTTTAGTAAAAAAACGGAATGCTTACAATGCAAAAACTTATCAACTTTGGGCATTTTATTACATTCTACTGGAATATCTTTAATTTTCCCCTAAAATACATAATGATGGGAGGGGGGGGGGAGGATGAAAATAACAAAATGGGCTTCGAATAAACAAATCAAACCCACAAACATCAATATCATTTCAAAGCACTATTCCTCAAAGATTAACTAATTACCTAAAAAATTCTGGTAAATCAAAGTACAGATATGTTTTTATATGTAATATCATCAGCTTAAAAAATAAATAAAATAATAATACCTAATAATAATAATAATAATAATAATAATAATAATAATAATAATAATAATAATAATAATAATAGTAAGCCAGGTATTATATTCTTGGCAATAGTATTTTTTGCAAATAAAAACCTGAAACACTACCTAAGAGCTGAATCTCATATGAAATAAATAAATTAATTAAATAACACTTTGTGCTTATGACAGCCTACTACATCAACAACCGAGATGCACAACATTAATGAAATAAAAGATCACTATCAGATATGCAAATGTCTGCATAATCTTTTTGTGGGTTATACATAGCTATCATAGTGACTAAAAAATAAAATGCACAGTTGCAGTCTAATAGGATAAACTAGGTTTTCCTCCCATTCTCAACTACTGTACATTATTAAATTAAGAAACAAAATCAGTTCTCTGTGTCTAATACTGTACCCACATCAAAAGTAGCAAATGCAATTTTCTTAGGAATTAAACTATATACAATATTTTCACAACAAACAGTTATTTCATATATCACAGATCAAGAACAAGGCAAGTTTGTTTCTTTATACTAATTAATTAAGCTTGTTGGAAATTGTCTTACTTAACAATGTAATAAAAAAAGCATACTAAAATTAGCTTTAGAGAAGCTCTTTCTTAGTAACTAAATAACAAAAGGCATTTGCAATGCATTTGCACACATAAATTACAAAAATACGAATATTATTAAAGAAGTTTCACAAACAATTAAAATATAAAATACAGAAAAAATAACCATAACACATTCATTTACATTGGAAGTAACTACTATTTCATCAAATATTTATTTTATAAAATACGTAATTCCATTACATGAAGATAGCATACTCTATTTTCATTAGTGAGCATTTACTTCATTCAAGAATCTAATTCTCTCTTTCATTAAATGAGTCAGTACCAGGAAAACAAATATTTTCTCCTTATGCAACCACACAGCATTTTCAAGACATACATCTAAACGGCAAGAACAGCCTAGTTTAAGCAACTGCATCTACTTTCATTTCTTCATCCAAAGCATCTATACTAGCCATTAAGGTCTGGCCATTGTGCCCTTCAGGTACATGTTTAGAGGAATTATCCAAAGCGTTACTTACATTGCTTTGAACAGATTTTGTTTGCATTTCACCACCATTTGGAGATGAAGGAAATGTTACATGAAAAACTCCTTTTTTCTCGTCATTTCTCTGTTTCATAGACACAGGCATGACAATAATTTCAATTGTTGGAACACCATCAATCTCATTTTCACCATTTGAGTCAGTATGATTAACAGAAGGTGCTATGACTTTGGCAGATTCTTTCTGCCCTGAAAGGTTATCTATTTCTTTTGACAGAGAAGAAAGAGGTTTCTTGCAACGAACCTTCCTAAATCTTCTACCTCGTGTTTGTTTGGCAGTTATAGCCTCAAGAGGCACTGTTTCCAATGATTTTTCTTGACAAGTGTTTGGTTCCAAAGGACCTTCACCAGAGCCACAAACATGGGTAGATAAATGAACTTTCTTCTTAAATCTCTGTAAAAAAGTGAAATTACCAACATTATACACAGAAAAATGTAAATAAGTAAGTTATTTAGAATCAGAATATTTTTTCTTTTCTTTGCAAAATAAATATTGCTATGCTTCTTCAAGCCTTTGGCTTAAAAATTTTACTCTGATCCACAAAGAAATTTATAAATTTGAAAATTATATTAATGAAAAGGAAAACTGGAGAGAGAATATAATTTTTCATTCTGAGTACTGGCAATCATTTTGCATTGGGTGCAGACCATTGGGCACAAAGAAACAGTAAATTGAAATTAATTATATTGAAGGTACTACAAGTAATACTAACCAAACCACACTGTACACAAGAAAATGGAGCATCTGTTGCATGATGGCCTCGTTCATGTTCTTTTAACTGACTCTGTTTATGAAACATTTTATTACATTTTCTGCAATGAAATGGTTTCACTGCACTGTGAGTCAGTATGTGAACTTTCAGTTTATCTGCAGTTAGACATAAATTAACCAATATTAAATTTCTGACAAAATTTAATGAAGTAAGCATTTATGGATCAATTAACAAGGACACATACCTTGACGATTGAATTCTTTTGAACATCCTAAATAACTCTGAAATGGGCATTTGAATTTTTTTACAGACTGATGAATCAAAGAATGTCTAGCTAATTTATCTTTGCGATTAAATGCTGCAGGACAATGCTGAAAAATATAACGAATTCACCATTTATTAGTTTAAAAAAATTAATGTTGAAAAGTTAAAAACTAATGCAATGTGTTTGGAAATATTTACCATGCAGGTATATGGCTTAACTCCACTATGAATAAGGCGATGAGTGTTCAGGTACTGTTCAGTACGGAAGCCCTTGCCGCAAGTAGGACATGTGTACCTCTCAGGAGTACCATGTGTTGGTAAATGTCGTCTCAAATAACGTTCACATGTAAACACTTTTCCACAGTGTGCACAAGGAAAATGATGATTCGTTGTTGATAAGTGATGGTCCAAAGCTTTTGAAGATGTAAATTTACTTTTACATTTCATGCAAAGAAAGTACCTGTAAAATAACAGACACACATAAACTGCTTATTATCTGTATTCTAAAGATGATTATCAATGTACACAAATTTCTATTTACTATTATTCAAAAAAAATGTTTCAGAAATTCAGAACAAACCTTGTATTTTTATTATTAGTTTTATTCCACGAGTTGTGTGTGTACTGATGTATTCCCAAATCAGCTAATGTATTAAACTTTTTAAAACATACATGACAGCAATATTGAACTTCATCAGTATGTACTTTGGTATGTTTTAAGAAACTGTCTAGATCTTCAAAGGTTTTCTGACAATTGCGTTGAACACATTTATAGACCTGCAAAGAAAAGAAAATTCCTGAATCCTTAAAAATTCACATATATAAAAACAAAAACCTATATACACTCAGGTTAGTCAGCCCTACCTTTTGATGAGAATGCTTTTTCATGTGAGTTTTGAGTTCAAAATAGGAGGTGAATGATGTATCACAGTATTGACACACATAAGAACGATCTATAACAATTATGTTTTCACCATCATCACTAGCTTCCTTGGTCTTCTAGAAAAGAAACAGGAAATTATTTTTTATCAGATGAATTCTAATAACATAAATTTCTTCCTATCCACATTAATGGAATATATATTTCAGAAGAATCCATATAATGTTAATATACCCAACATACTTATTCGTAGATAATGTATTACATACTAGCTAAAGAACCCTACATTCTCTGGATATTTACTATACAAGAAAAGAAATTAATTATATATATGTGTAGTGTATTCCGACTCTGCCTGGTCGCACCTGCCCAGCTCCACTGCCTTTTGTCTGGCTCACTCTTACATGCACTCCCGTGATTTCTATCATTGCTACGGGCAGGTTAAACAGATATACTGTTGCTTATAAGCAAAGTTTCAGCAACAATTTTGACTTTGTGACCATTCAACGTCTAATTCTACTATTCGAATGAACCAAAATCCATGTAGTATGAAATTTTATGACCTGACCAACCTGAAAGACAGCACACACAACTTTCGTGGTATAGGAAGGAGAGTAAGGGTGGTATTTAAGAAATCTCATGTGGACAATAACTTCTGTTCTCTTGTATCAAAGGTCATGGCAGATTGTATAAATAACAAAGGTTCTTTTTTATGCAACAGAAATTATCTGAAAATGTAGCCTAAATTATGATCAACTAAATACTCTACCTTGTAGTGAAAACCTCATTAAAAACCAGTTATGCCATTATCATGGCTAGGACAGACAAACATTGTTGGTACTAACAGACAAAACTGTAAAAATAACTAAATGGATTTTTATATCATTATTTTAATGATATGAGATGATATAAAGATAGGTATTTTTAAATCCCCAAATACTCCATTTTTATTTCTACAGATTAATGCTTTAATCATTCTATGAAGGAAAACAAAAAAATGAGAGGCATTTAAAATAGCCTAGGAATTTTTTAATGTAATGATGATAATCCTTGTCATCAATCAAACTTCTAAACAAAAACAAAACTTAAAAAGCATTGGCCTAAAAGTGCCACATAAAATATGGCATCATGGAATTGAATAAAAATTGTATTAATAATATATTTTTGTGTTCAACAGAGGAATACCATTCAGAAATGTGGTTGGGTTGTAATGGGTTGGAGACTGGTAGTTGTTAACTTACTGGTACTGCACATGGCATTCCTACTTCACTTGATGAAATCTGTTGTCAACCTAACAAATGTGAGTTTTCAAATGCGTTTTTACCAATTTTTTGGCACCTAAGATGCATAATACAGCCTATAATGGCAATGGGTGAGCTTAGTGAACATTTTGGAAAATGAAAGGAAATATCTACAATGGAGTTGACAAAGACTTGTCCCTAAAAATATTCAATGTCAATTATGTGTTGGGCAAGCCCACAGTTGTTTTTTGCTACCTGCGTAGGCTTAAGACTATATCTTCATAATGAACTTGGACACGCATAGTGAAGCGACAAGTGAGACTCTAGCAAAAGGTGTGCATCCAGGCAGAATTGTTGCCAGGCATTGCCAAGCCAGGAGCAGGGTGGGTGGATTGGTCTAAGCAGAACAGAAAAGGAATGAGGGGCAAGTAGGGTAGAGAGCGAGGTCCCACTTAATAGTCCGTTGTAGAGATGTGCTCTTAACTGGTAAACTGTTATTTCGAAACCGTTACGTGAAATAACAGATGTCGTTTATCTTGTTATAAGCTGTTATCGGTTGAAATGCATAACATTGCAATCTATTAGGCCAAATCCAAACTACTTCAAGCTTTCGCGGCAACCATTTTGTACGAGAACAATTTCATTGCAGTTAATCAATCGTGATTAGCAAGTGTGCAAATTATAGATTCATGAATAAATAATTCATCGTTATTACACACCATAGACCACAATATTGGTATATTTTTATTGTATACACTACAATAAGAAGTTTGTCCTTTAAATTAAATCCATCCAATATGTTTGTGAACTTCTTTTTGCCCCATTTCTCTTAGGTGAGATCCACTAATATTTCTTTAATTACGATAAAATAAAATGCGTTACGGTCAAATAACTTGCATTAAAATATCTGATAGTCAACAGTCATTACTATTTTAGCTGTAGGTAAGCAAAAATTGCTTCTCCTTTCCATTTCTTTTGGCATTCATTACTATGCACAAGTTGCTTATTGGAAAGAATATTCGCAATCTGAACCTGAATCACTATCATTTTAGTAATATTCTATACAAATTTGCTACTCATCATACCAATAACTATTCTTCCTTGGCCATTCATACAGGTTTGTTCATATCAGCTGTTTCTCTGTCCAAACATGTTTGGGGAAGCAATGCGCTGTGAGGTAGTTGCACACTTAGCAGTCGGCCACAATCGGCCATGTTGGGTTGCTGATAATGGATCTGTTATTTTTTAACTTTTATAACAAGTTGACTGTTATTGCGATAACAGTTATCGAAGAAAACCTGTTAAGGCCACCTCTAGTTTCTTGTGCTAAATAAATAACCACCCAAAGTCATGAAATCAGCTAGTTCTTCATGAGAAAATTATGTTGGCTAACACTACGCCTAGTCTTCCCTTGCAGGAAAAACATCCTTACATCACTTCTTTTGAATGTGAATAAAAACATTTCTCATTTCATTTTCATTCTCACCTTGCACCCCTCATTGCTTGGTGGCTTCTCTAAAATTTGGAGAGGTTCTTTGGGCAATGTCCTGGAGAAACCATCAGGCCACACCTGCAAAACAAACTTACTTTTTCATTCAGACCAAAATAAGCAAAAACATCAAAGAATCAGCAGAAGTAAACATACTTTATGAGTAGCCATATGTTTCTTGACATTTGATTTTTGAGAGAAAGCACGTCCACAAACTACACACTGAAATGGTTTTTCACCAGTATGACTTCTCAGATGTTGCTGGAGATCAAAATTTTTGGCAAACATTTTGTTGCAGTAATGGCACTTTAACTGAAACAAAAGATTAAAATATTAAAATGTCATTTACTCTTTTCAGAAAAACATAAATAATTTTTCCTTACTTAGCATACTCCCATAAAACAAGTGAATAAATTATATTATTTACAAAATCAAAACAACATTAATATTTATTATTTACAATTGAAACGCTCAGTGCAATTATGACTGAAATAATGATTAACTATTATATCTTTTGATTAAACATCTTCATGCATTTAAGATATTAAATTTTATCTTGTTTACAAGCATTTTACTTCATTGTATTGAATTCTTTAAAACAATAATCACACTGATTAAACAAGGTCAAGTTTTTTACACATTAACAGCAAGTTTACAAATGAAAGCTTAATAACATCTCATCAACTCACTAGAATCTATTCTCAATGAAATATAACAAAAAAGAGGTAGTTTGAGAGACCAAAAGGGCAAGTTGCGTCCATGCAGGGATTTGCAGTGGGCTCAATATCAACATAGAAACCCTGTCAAAGATTCTGTTTCTTATTTCACACATTTCTCTATCAAAATATAATAAAAGAGAAATTTCCACCACATTTTCTAGAAGTGAGTAAAATGAATTCAAAAAATAAACATCAAAATATCTACCAACTGGAGAATCATGGAACCAGATACACTCAAAATCACCCAAATGATCTATCCTTTAATGCAAAATTTTAATTTTCATTAAATTAGTTCTCCTATCAACACAATTCTCTTCCAAAAATACATGTCCATTTTACGACATATAATGTCATTACCCCAAAAAAAACCAATTACCCAGAAAAAATATTCTAATGTTGTTAATACAGATATTTTTTCTTCTTCTGGTGTTTTTTCCAGCTTCAATGGATGCTGATTTTGATTATTCGCCATGGGTACCCACTATGTCCCTCATCAGGACACATATTTATCTTTTACACAAGCTTGCGAGCTCCTCGGTCTGTGGTCAGCAGACTCAAAAGGGGTCATTCATAAACTACGTAACGCTAAAGAGGGAGTGAGAGGGTCTGAGGCAATGCTGTGTTACATAGGGGTTGGGGAGTATTAGTAAAATGATATATTGCAATATTTTTACATTTTTCAACATTTGTTGAAATACTTCTTATTTTGAGATCTGTACTAAAACACTAATATAATAACAAATACATTTGTTTAACAAACATAAACATTAGTTATTAGTGGTAAATTGTTACAATGAATGGAAATATTTTTCATAATTTTGTTACAAAACCATTCTCATAGCAGGACTTGAACCCCTGACCCTTCTGACCAAGATGCTGAGTAAGCATACGCTCCAACTACCTCAGCTATCCAAGTCGACAAAATTGTTAATAAATTATATTCTATCAAAAAATCCAAACATACCTTTGGAGCCTTCACAGTAGAAGATCGACCATTATCTTTACTATCCAAAAGTTGTTCACCAGACCCATACTCATTACCTAAATTCTGACAAATGTCTCCAGATAAGGGATCAACTTCAGTAACAGCACTGTTATGTTGATTTGTAATTGCAACTGAAAAGTTCTGATCGTGTGCTGAAATCTGTGTCGTATCCACTACTTCGTTAATAGCTTTTGAAAGATCTAAAGTCACAGAAGAACCATTTGATGAATTAATGACATCAAGAAAGCTCACAGATACTGTTTCGGGCCCAACTTGTGCACCACTCTCACAAACTCCAGCGATATTTGAATATTCACAGAAATCAGTTGTGTTGTCTATATATTCTATACTTGTTTCAGTGTATTCTCCATTGCTCAAGAGCACCTAGATCAAAGTTAAAAAAATCATCATTAGAGCAAATTAGAAAATAAAATTAATTTACATAATAATTATCACTGACTTTAAAAAAAATAAAACTGCAATGAGTACCTTACAAGTTTTTCTAGCATCACCATCACAATAATCAAGAAGGACTGTTCCATCACTCTCTACAGTTCCATTTCCATATTGCAACAATTTATCAGATGCTTTATCACATTCTAATAATAAAGCCCTTAATGCAAAACAGAAACGACAAAACATTATAAAATGGAAACGATGTTTTAATTCTCTAATGTTCTTAAGATAGAAAAAGCTTACCCATTATCAGTTTCTTCAATATAATCTATATTTGGCAGTAAAACCTTGCAACCTTTTGGATTCCTCTCAGGACATGTTGCCAGAATGTTAATGTTCTGGGAAACATCCTTACCACAAGAAACTCCAGAACATGAATTCAATTTACCTTGTGAGGTTACTTGTTGAATACAAGGCAATCCAGATGAGAATTGCTGGGACTAAAAACAAACCACACAAGCATCGAAATAAGATTAATATTCTATATTGTTAATTACAAGTATATAGAGGGAAAAAGTGTAAAATTAAAATTCCTACTTACTTGAGAAGTTAATATTATGGGTTGGCTAGCACCTTCAAAACTGTTTGAACCATCTGCAAGATGTTTCATACCACTAGATTCTGAATTAGTTGCTATAAATGAACTTCCATCAGGTACATTTGGTGCAGAGGAAGTAACCTGAAATAATTGTGCACCATAAATTATTTAAATTGAATCAACATTAATATTGAACCTCAAATTGAAGATAAAATTGATCGAAACATAAATATTTAAAGTTGTTCTAACCTGCGTAGAAGCAATGTTAAGAGGATCTTCATCATCAATACTAAATGACAGAATGTCAGCTTCACTCAGAATTATAGGTTGACATAATTCTGATGCACAAATAGAGTTATCCAAGGCTTGCACTTCAAGCTGCTGAAAATTAGCAGATTCAGCAGCTTCGGATTCTTGAAAATGATCCCCAGCTACATCAAAGGGCACAAATAAAATCTCATATAAACAAACAATCTATTTAAAGACTTTTTAATGCATTTCCTGAGTTCTTCACCATTCACAAATTTTATAAAATGTAACTATTAATATAAGCATTGGTGAGCACAGCCAAAAACGAGATTGGCCCAACCACAATTCTGAGTCCCCTTTTCCATTAAATTTCACATGGATTTATATTTTGCTGGCAAATAAATAAAACATAATACAAGGACCATGAAATAATTATAGTCATGCAATTAATTAATAAATAAAATGGTTTTATGTTGATCAATTTACAGGGTTGCCAGAAAGTTTGGAGAGCCTCTTCTCCTTCGACATATATAATTCCTCACATTGTTGACTTAAAAAAAGGAGGGAAATGAGGAATTCATCATATTTCCAGATTAGTAAAAGGTTTTATTATGAAAGGCTGCAGGGCATCTTTGAAAATTTTCATAGGTGCCAAGGTCCCAATGCCCCAAGGACTTATCAAAAACAGTTAAGAAATGTGTGGCATACTGTAAGGAGAAGTGCAATATGTTCATGGTATCTTGATTATTTTGAGTACTTTCCCAATTACCTGATTAATATGACAAATTAATGAGCATAATTACTACATTATTATTATTGTTATTATTATTATTATTATTATTATTATTATTATTATTATTATTATTATTATTATTCCATATTTATTAGAAAGTTGACTAAACAAGATTGACCAGGTTTAGTCAACTATAACTTTTAAATTGACATTTTGATATTTGATAAATTTTTTGATCTTTTGTGCTTCTTATGGAGTTATAAAACATTTTCTCTTAACCATTAACAGAACCACAAGAGGTAAAATGCTCAGTTTTATGAAACATTGTACAATCAATGTACAAACTTAAACATTGTACACTCAATGTAAAAAAAGCATACTTAATTCAATTGTCATGTGAATTACACCAATAGGTTTTCTAAAAATTTAAAATACACAAATAAGAGTTTTCAGGATTTGATATTTGACTACAATATTTTTAAAATAAAAGTTTCAATTTTCACAGTTCATCCAATTTTGCCTGCTTAAATGTTTACCTATTACGTTTAAAACACATTTCATTTTGAAAATCTCAAAAGTTTTCTAGGTCACCTTTCGAGTGTTCAGAAGGGTCGAGAAGTTTATTAGACTCTTCGAACCTGAAAAACTACATTGTAACCTAGGTACAATTTTTAAGAACGCTAAAGTATTAATTAAAAAAAAATAATGATATTCAAAAGGTGTAATGGATTCAAAATTTAAAAAACAAAGCTTCTAGGGCCAGAAACAGACTCCTCCTCCTCCCCTTTCTTTGTTCCTGATTTTCTCCCCTCCCCTCAAATTAATACTAATGAGAAGTTTCTTATATTATGATATTATTGATTTTGAGATTATGTACAGAAGAGCCCATTAGAGACACCATAGCATATTAAAAAACACTTCAAAATGTAATTTAAAAAAGAAAAAAATATTTCATACCTGCTGTATGTTCCTTTTTGTGACACATAAACAAGGAAAATGACGTGAATTGCTTTTTACATTTACCACATTGGAAAACATCTTCTTCATCCAAAGTTATTGTAGCTGTTCACAAAAATATTAATTAATGTCAAGAGTTTCACGGAAATTAATGCATATAACTGGAGAAATCCGATGCTTTCATTGAGGTTTATATTGACTTACTTGGAGGGCCAGTGCTGGTAAGAGTTGTCGAGTCTAAAATTGATTGTACTGTGTGATTGTCCAATGATACACCTAAAACACACTTCATTTATTTTCATGCTGCACAATTAAATGCCTCCAAACAAATATTTGAAGACTTGGTTAGTACTTACCACTTAATGCATCAAAGAGCATGTGAGCCATTTCAATATCGCAGAATAGACGTAAAAGGAACTAATGTTTCTGTCAAATTTCAAACATTCTTCGTCGTTAAATACAAAAATGCTTACATTTTAATTTTTCTTGAACATTGACACAATACTCAGTTATGTCAGAACCTCATATCCAGGGTAGCCACAGGCATCAACCCACAGAATAACCTTTCCAGTTCTATGTGCTATCGATTCACAGTGTTGCCATATTTCGCAGCAATATGATTACAAAGAATAAACATTCGCGAAGATTGTAAACAAAGTGATGGTGTTTTGCAAGTTTTGTACAGGGAGTATTTAATACAAAGGTATTTCAAAAGCTTTGTACAACATAACTTTTCTGACTAGTTTACCTTTTAGTGTACGTTGTGTGTTCCTAGCTTTCATCAGCCTACAAATATAGTACTTATTTATGAATATGAAATTGTAAAATGTCAAACGGGGTATTTCTACTGTCATTGACTGGCCAGATAGAAAGTGCTGTTTTCCCGGATTTTGACGACATCTACTGCAAATATTGTTTTACTTACGGTTCTGACTGGGCCATCACGTCGGTTTGTAATATTTATTAAGGAGCGCTGTAACTGGTATAATACTCTTAGTATTGCCATTTTCTGTCATGAAACCTGTAAATAATTTATCACTTTAAAATTTCAGGGACTAGAAGAAGGAATTTCTCAGATCGGAAAATGTAGCCGTGACGATAGACAATCTTTCGTTTGGAATTTTCCCCTTGATGTTACCTTCAAGAGCACAAATCCATTTGGTTGTAAGTTTCGTAGCTAATTTAATTTTGAAAATTTTTAAATTGAAGAAACCTCATTGTAAACTGTTTACAGGGCCTCAAATAGTCATCAGTGTCTATGGTTTAGATGCCTTTGGTAATGATGTTGTCAGGGGCTATGGCTTGTGTCACATTCCAATTGCTGCAGGTCAATATAAAAAGACGTAAGTCTCCTTTATTTTCAGTTCCATAAATGTTAGACAAGTGTAACAGATTAACATAATTCCTAACATTACATTCCTGTAGATTGCCAATGTTTGTCCCAGAGTCAACAACATTGTTGCAAAAGTTGACTTGTTGGCTTACTGGCCGTCGTCCTGAATATGTGGAACCTCGAATCTTGGGTCAGGGCGAAGGCAGAGAAGGTAAATCCTCTTTTTATTTATAGAACATTGTGCTGAGTATTGATAAATGGTTCTTTTTATAGTTACCAGGGTGCGGTCCCAAGGATGGGTGAAGGTTTGCTTCAATACAATAACACGTGATGTACAGCAACTTGGTTATTCTACACGTTCTAGCAGTAATAGTCACAGTTGCTTATCACTTTAATATGCAAGTCTCATTAACTTGTATTTTAATTGAAGTGTCAATTTACTGATATACAGTATATTTATTTGTGTTGAAATGGATACAAATCAAGATAAAAATGTTAAAATTTTTATTACAATGTCTACATTATTTTTACACAATATTTACACATAACTGACAAAGTTTGTACTAGCTATTTTGCACATTAAATTTAATGTATGTTTAATTTATTTTTAAAAACATAAACAGGATAATTATGTGGGAACTTCAGGTGATTTTTCCTTTTTCCTTTGCACTAACAACAATATGTTTACTCATATTGTATTTCTTCTTCATGAAGATTGTGGTGATCCATGTATTACAAACAGCTCTGGTAACGTGGCAAATTGCAAGCACAACAAAACCCTACAATTAATACTGTTAACATCTGAGCAACCTTGATGCTTATGAGAAACTTTTCTTTGAATTATGTATTTTCTTTCCTGCATTGAGGTTGCTCATTTTGCAATAAATAATCCAAACTAAATCCATGTTATGAAAAATTAGTTACTTGACTAGCACAAGAACTTCGAAAGTACATTGCACCTAACATGGCAAGTGAAATGTTTTTACTTTTCCAACATTGCTGCTAATTCACTGTGGGTATACTTTGTTTCAAGAATCAATTTTTTTTAAACACTAAACATTATGAAACAAAGTTTCCAATTGATTAAGAAAATATTGAAGAGTTTCTTATTAGTTTTAGTCTTGTTTATGTAAGCCATTTCGAAAATAATCCAATTCTTTCATTCAGTGGTACATTCACAATTTATGACTAGGTGGTTTGCAGATACAAATATGTATTCTTCTGTACATCTTGTAAAGGCTTGCATCTTCCATTGTAAGAGGAATTTTATATAAATACTGACTGGTTCATGCTGTGTGTTTCATCCACTTCAAGATTCATTAGTAGATGGAATTCAGATATTCATCAAACTTCTCTTCTGTAAAGTAAAAAGACATGTTAGCATTGCCAATATTTTGACCAGGACTGGATAAATGCACAAGCCCTTACTGACTGGTTGGTCTGCTTGTGCCCTTAATATTTTGAAGAAAATTTTTAAATCTTTCATAACAAACTTTCATGTTTAATGGAGATCATGGATATATTCTGTTAATCTCTTTTTAACAGTATAAATGAAAATGATAACTCAAATAAAAAAACTGCCATGAAAGTGTAGACTTATATTCTCCAATAATTTAATGTATAAATTAGTGTTTTATAGAAACATTTTCAATTGTTAAGAGTATAGATTACTTATCATGTTTTAGCACATAGGATGATTTACACAAAGCCAAATTTCATTTATTCTTTTTAATAATCATTTTCAATGATCATACCTCATAGTGTTGTCTGCTGTTAGGCGTGTTCCATAGGTGTCCAATAGTTCAAGAACCACTCCATTTGTCCATCCAAATCCTGATTGTGGAATGTATTCTCCCCCTCCTCCAGAATTTCCTGGAACCTCCGCATCATACTGAAGAAGAAAAAAAATACATGTTCAATAGTTGTCAATAGTGCAACAAAGAACCAACAAGTAACCAGTGCAACAAATGATTTGTCGTCAAGATGCCTGTATTCAAGAAGACGCCACAGCATTCATTACTGTTTAGGATTGCAACAATTTTTGTCATAAGAACCTTTCACTGACGAATTTCATAGAATAGAAAAGACAAATGTCCTATAGTTTTTTTCTGAAAAGAAAAAAATACCAAGTTAAGGCCAGTATCTTTGAGAGAGAGAAGAGATATAATAATCCAAATTATTATGGATTATTTGCAAAAGCAAATCTCATAACAAACAGAACATTAAAGTTAACATTTTTAATTAAATGAATTTTGAACTTTTTACTTGCTTAAAAATACATATCAACTACTGGAAATCTTTTTTTACGTTTAGTTTCTTGTTAATACAAATTTTGATGGACGCCTTGTCATTTTGATCAAGGTGGGAACCCTAATCCTCAAACTTTCCTGCTTTAGCAAATTCGGGTTGTAGACCACTGAAAGTTTTGGAAGAGTCACTAATATTGACATTATAAATATGAGAATTTTTAAGGGCCAAGGTTTGGAAACTAAAGCAGAACAATATGATCCAAACCAAGTGGAGCTGCCTTCTACCACAACACGTGCCTTCTGTTATGTATACCATCCTAAGAGAAATCCGAAGAAAACAAGATTCATGTCCTCCTCTCTCAAGCCCTATTTTTCATTGTTCTTAATTCTTTTCAATACATGATTGTTTAATAGTGGACGAACAGAAGCTATGTACACTAGACATTACTGCAAAGACCATATTTTGAGAAGTAAATGTCCGAAACATTTTGTTTTTCCTTCATACAAATGACTCAAAAATGCTCACATAAAAGTTTCTTGTAGTAAATTACCTTTTCATACATATCATGGTGTTCCACAAATCCTTTGTAGTTTGATCGAATCCATTGTTCAGCGAATTCATAAGCTAATTTCTGGGCACTAGGTTCCTTAGTGGACTGCAAGCCTTGAATAATAATGTTTTGGAGAGGTGGCCAGGCATTGGGAAGATCCCATTGTTCTCCTGTGTTATTCAGTGATGTGGGAATTCCACCAAGATAGTGTTGTAAAATTTCAATACTTTGTAAGTATTTAACTACTTTTTGTGCAATGATGGGAGTCTCTTTCTGAAATTAAATTGTATAAAATTATTATTATTATTATTATTATTATTATTTAGAATTTTTATTATTATATGACATTAAGTTACCAATACAAACTCAGAAATGAACTAACCTCATTGTAACACTTTGTCCATAAAGGAGCAAGGTTTGATGGGTAAAAGTAGGTGCGCTGTTTTGCATTCAGAAGATCATAATCAAACCAAGAACCAGTTGTACCATTCCATAATACTGCTGTGACTGCCTCCTTCAGTTCATGGGCAATTTGGGAATATTTTTTGGCTTTATCCAAGTTTCCTACAACTTCCGTGTGCAATGTAGAAAGCAAACGAGCATTACCATACACAAAAGCATTGACATCTACTGGAATTATATATTTTGTATGAATGTCTGTCAAGTTTCCTGCAAAAGAAATTATATTTAATGAACAGTGGGTCATCAGGCATGGTCTACTTCAAAATATACTGTATTAATCACCTTCCATTATAAAATACAGTTTTCAAACCATTAAGAAGATAAGAGATCATTAAACTTTGTTAAACAACTCACCTTTGTTGCTACCATCTTTGATGAACCATCGACTGGAGAAATCCCAACCAGATTCTGCAGCAGATTTCAAGTCTATGTAAAATTCTTCTTTTCTTTGATCAGAAGAGAATACTTGGCCGTTCATGTAATCCTCCCTGAAATACATCATCAATTATTGGTTTAAGTGACAATGTCAGTAAGTATATCCAAATATCCTTAATAAAATAAAGAAATACCTGTATGATTCTGGTCTAGGGCCCTGCGATGGAGAATAGTATCTGAGAAGAGTGTAGGTTTTTCCATCCTTGTGCACGTTTACTGTACGATTTTTCATCCAGAAATCTAATTCTCTTTCAAGCAAGTGGATGTTTTTCTTCACAAATTCTTCATCCTTGGTAGCCAGAAAGTAATTGTAGACCATGGGAGTCAGAAGCGGGGGTTGCGAGCGTTCCAAGTAGTAAATTCTTGCTCCATTAGGAATTATTCCATGGGTGTCCAGCAGGAACAAGAAATTTTCTATTATACCCTTTACAGTGTCCTTCATATCGCTAAGCAGAAGCCCTCGAACAATCCAGTAGGTATCCCAATAGTACAGCTCCCTAAAGCGCCCGCCTGGCACGATGAAGTGGTGAGGAACGTAGATGAGCGAGTATCTGTCCGTGTGGTCCCTGACTTCGTCGGAAACCCTTCTGCTGAGATTCTTCCATATGCCGTTCAGCTCGGACGCCCAGGCGCGCAGCTTGGGGTCGGCGATACGGCGGAGCAGCGCCGGCTCGGCCACCCAGTCGGGCAGGTCCGCCCCCTCCAGCTCGTTGCCGTCCTCGAAGTAATCGTCTACGAACTTTTGGATTTGCTCCTTGGACGGGTTGCCTCCGGTTTGCTTCATCAACGCGTCGAACTGCTCCAGCGTCTCGTCCGGCGAGTAGATGAGCCGCTTGTCGACGAATTTCTTCGAGTCGGGATACAAGTGAGCGTTCTGGACGACACTGAGGAGCTCGCCTTGGCAGTAAATTTTGCTGGAAAGAAAACAAAGATTATGATTAGAATTTCAGAGAAAGTCGTTGGATTGATCAGCATCTTATTTTGCTAAGGATTTTTTTAGCGATCACTTGGTGAGATAACATATCGGTGAAATGTATCTAAGATCTACGCTACGACGCTTGAGTGTTGCACACCTCTTTTGTTCCTCGAGCTGTGTCTTCGGCCTTTTGAGCGCATTTAAAGTATACACATTGCGTCTAATCGTCGGAAACGCAGTTTCGCGTTTTTTGAATTTATGAATTTAGATGCTTACAGCCAAGACTTACGTCTACCTATTTCATACGTTTCGATGTAATTAAAC